CTTTCCATTTTCAGATGATGGATTGAACAGTGCTCTGTGAGATGTTCAAAGCTTGGGATATTGTTTTATAACCTAACCCTGCTGTTAAATGTCTCCACAACTTTATCCCTGACCTGTCTGGTGTGTTCCTTGGCCTTCATGATGCTGTTTATTAATGTTCTCTAAGAAACCTCTGAGAGCTTCACAGAACAGCTGTGTTTTTAAATTACACACAGGTGGACTCTATTTTCTAATCAGGTGACTTCTGAAGGCAGTTGGTTCCACTAGATTTTAGTTAGGGGTATCAGAGTAAAGGGGGCTGATTACAAATGCATGCCACACTTGTCAGATATTTGTAAAAAAAATTTGAAAACCATTTATCATTTTCCTTCCATTTCCCAATTATGTGCCACTTTGTGTTGGACTATCACATGAAATTCCAATAAGATACATTTGCGTTTTTGGTTGTAACATGACAAAATGTGGAAAATTTTTAAGGGGTATGAAGACTTTTTCAAGGCACTGTAGGTCATTTCCTGCTTGTGTGATTGGCTCACTGATTTTCCCAGAAGTCTGCACTAAGATACAAGTCAGATTTTGAGCATCCCCTGCAACAAAAATGCCATTTTTGGTGAGATACTCCCAAAAGTAATTCACATCTAAAGGGATGCAAACCCTGCAGTTTTCCTCATTAGGTAGGAATCTGCAACAAAGTATGGTAAAATCCTTACAATGTACATAGATTACCCAGAGGGGAATTTTTTTTTTTTTTTTTTGGGTTTTTTTTTCCTCCACAAAAGTGGAATTACTCTTTAAAAAAGTCACCATTATTTCAGTTGTGGAGTAGCCCTCTTTTAGAGATTGATCGGATGGAAAGGTAGAGATCCTTAATCTTTCTATGTGTTCAGTAACCAGAGCCTTGATTAGTTCAGTTCTAACTTCTGCCCTGATGTCTGAGTGCGACTGAATGGGTAAAATTGTTACTCAAGACTTGGCTACTGAATAAGTTTCCCTTGCCTATGTTGACTTGGCAGATCAATTTAGTTCAGGATCTGCAATATCTTTACATAGTGGCCTTGGGCTGGGGTCAATGGTTTCTTGTTTATCTGCTTCAGCTGTAGTGTTGAGACGTCTGTCTACTTTGGCTTCTAAGAAAGCCTTAATGGAAATGCCTTTTGATTGGGGATGCCTTTTTCTGTGGCTCCTTGGAAGATATTTTTAAAGCAAAATTTTTTTTTTTTTTTTTTCATTTTGGATAGAGCAAAGGAAAATTATAACCCTTGTCGGTTTTTTTTTTTTTTTTTTTTTTTTTTGCCATCTGTGTCCCATTGGGGAGATTTACCTTCACTTCTTGTCCCATAACCAAAACAGGAAGTGAGCGGAAATCCCTGCAACTTAATGGAATCCCTTGGCTACCCCCCCAGGTCATTAGAACAAGTGTCCCCATTGGAAAAATTCCTTTCCTAACTTTTCTGGGGACAACCCAAAAATTTGGTTTTTCTTTTACTTTCAATGATCATGGTAAACAGGACAAAAATAGAGCGTGACTCTCCCTAACAGGGACACAAAAAGCTATAAAAAAAAAAACTGAAAGGAGTTTTAATCCCACTCCATTTTGTCCAAAACTAAAAGAAAAGCTTTTTCTTTAGTTGTACTTTATACTTTAAGATTTTTATGGGCAATAAGAGCACCTTTCTTCCCCAGTCCAAGTGTGGCACGTCCTCCTCACATAAGCACATTTTCCATGTGCAAGTATCTTCCTTCAGAGGAAAAAGCCAAAAAGTTCTGCTTATATCGAGGATTTAGCCATCCCTAGCAAAACAAAAGTTCCATGTCCAATGAAAGACCCACTAATGGCATGAAGGTGTCCCCCACCATCCTGTCAAGCTGGGGCATTTTCTATCCCTTGTGGACTGGTAGCTATCTCTCATTTAAGACAAATGGGTTCTGGAGATAGTCCAGATGTCTGGACTGCTTTTTTTTCCTCTAAACTTGCACCTTTCCCCTCAGCGTTTAACCAATCTTCATTTAGCAGCGTAAGGACTTCTTGCTTCAAGGGTTGGTCATTTTGCTGCCTTCATCTCAAAGTGTCGGAGGCATTTAATAAAAATCTCTTTACGATACTGAAGAAAGGAGTACTCCCAATCCTGGATCTGAAGGCTTTTAATGCTTTTGTAAAAGTGCACAAGTTCTGGATGGAATCAGTGCAGTCCATTGTGGCCTTTTTGCACCAGGGATGTTCCCTAGCCTTAGTCGACTTCAAGAATGCCTACCTCATTGTCCCATTTTCCTGGAACCATCAATGTTCTCTTGGATTTGTGGTGGGGAAGCTCCACTGCCAGTTGATAGCTCTTCCTTTCAGCCTGGCATCTGCATCTCGGGTGTTCACCAAAGTTCTGGCACTGCTGCAGATCCAAGCGATCTAACTTGTAGGCTATCTGGATGATTGCTCCCAAGAGCTGAGTCTGTGTCCATTCCGGACTGTGATATCTTCATCACGATTCAGATACTGGAGGATTTTGGATTAATCCTGAATCTCTGCAAGTCTGCCTTACTCCCCTTTCCATGCCTTGGAGTACCTGGGACACATTCTGTATACTAGTGAGGGCAAGGTTTTCTTTCCTCTGAGGAAACTTGAAAAGCTCCATCTTCACATCCCGCACCTGTCTTTCATTCGAATGTTGTCCATTTGCATGAGGGGCCACTGTCTCGTGGTAACCTCCTTTTGAGGCGGATGCTTATGTGAAAGATCACACCAGAACCCTGCAGTTCCTCCATTGGAAGATCCTCACAATGGATGCCAGTTTGTTCAGCTGAGGAGTACAAGGAATGCTGTCGGTTCAGGGTCAGTTGGCCCAGGAAGGAGACCAAGCTTTCCAACGTTTTGAAACTCAGTAGTTTGAATCCTTTGGTCGTGCCTAGCATACTACTCCTGTAGATGGCGCAATACCCAATAGTTTCAGTTTACTGATCCAGCTGTGTCCATCAGTTAACTTGGAGAAAAGGAATTAATGGTAAGTACAAAAATCTCAATATCTTGTGTTTAAAATGGACAACTTCTAAAATAAAATTGACTTAAAACTGATTGTTTCTCTTTTCATCAATTCATGACCTTAAGTAAGTAAAACATCCGTGTCTAGGTTAATGTTTGCAGATTTTGCATATTGCTAATTTTTTTTTTTTCAAAATGTACTTGCTTTGTATGCTTGAATGGTTTACTTGTTTAATGAAAGGTCAGGCTTTTATTATGGAAGAATAAAAAAAACCAAACAATACCTCAGCTGATAAAGGAACTGCAAGGAATCCGGCCAGCCAGGATGCTGGAAGTGCGTCACTGTGGAATTGGAAGTGACGAAAAACATACCAATGGAATGTCCTCGACAGCCTGCAGCATCTCTGCTCTCCAAGACCTGTTTTGGGGCGTGACCTCTTTGTCAGAAATTTGACAGAGGCCACGTCTCGAAACACATTGATTTGGAGATCGGAGATGCTGTTGGCTGTCGGACCTTGTATTGGTACTGTTTTCGGCACTTCCGGTTCCGTGGTGACGCACTTCCAGTGTCTCAGCCGGCCGGATTCCTTGCTGTTCCTTTCTCCATCTGAACTACAGATCATGGGACACCTGCTAGTTGGGTGTTGGTGACTGGCAGATTCCTAATATATTTCCCACCTGGGTTACTGTTACACAGAGCCATTTGCTGCACACCACGAATGCCGGTGTAAGTACCCTAAGCCTTATTTATGTATTATGGCACTGGATCATCTAACTCATGGGTGTTCAACCTTTTGAATAGTGAGGGCCACTTGAGTGATTTGGTAATTGGTCGTGGGCCACAATGAAAGGAAATGGTTCAGAATTTTGAATTTTTCTATTTTAAAAAGAATAATGAACATTTTTCATCTGTAGCCGCTGAATGCCTGTGGGAGAGAGAGGAGGAGAAGCTGGATCTCGGCAGCTGCAGGAGGATGGAGTTAAATTGGTTACTATATATGCTGCCCCTCCAAGTGTAAAACAGAATTTGACAGGGAGGCCGCACGTTCCCCCTCAAGTATGAGGTGGGATCACCATTGTGACCAGGATGTTATACCAGTGGTTGGGGGTGGTAAACATGTCTCAACTATGGAGGTTTTACTGCCCCCCCCCCCCACACACACACACACACACACACACACACACACACACACACACACACACACACACACCCAAAACTGCAAATGGTAACAGGCCCTTACTGTCCTGAGCCCCCAGTAAGGCTGCTTCACACTGATGTGCTGTGGTCTACCAGCACCACGGGTGCAGCACAGTGCACCTGCGACTTTCCTGCAGGTTGGCTGCGCTTTGCTATATACGTCTATTATTATTATATCTTGCAGATGTGGTGCACTTTCTGGAAGTGCACCAGAACTCCTGCATTCAGGAGTTTTGGTGCGCTTTAAGAAAGTGCACCAAACCTGCAGGATACATACCTGCAGTGAGACCATTGCTGGCACCCTTAAAGTCCTTCCGTTGAGATAATGTTTGTTTGTTTTTTCTGCTACCTGTTCTCTAGTGGGACCTTGTAGCAGCAGGAGAGTTGGGACATTTCACATCTACAGTTGCCCACAGAGGTCCAGCGCTGTGGCTCTTCTTTTGTGTGTTTTTGGTATTGTGGGAGAATGTGGGTTTTTTGTTTTTTTTTAACCTTGCGTATGCCCTTTTCATATAGGTTTATATTTTTTCACCTTGTTTTTAAAATACACCTTTTTTTAGCTTCGTGACTCATCATCCCTATTTGAGGCACTTTTGGAATTCATGATCTATAGATCTGCAGTTGTAAAGTTATTTGACAAAAGCGTTTAAAATCATTTTGTAGCTGAAAAAGGGGGGGGGGTCTTATAATCTCTGGGGGATCTGTTTTTTTGGGGGGGTTTTCTTACTCTTTTGGTTACGTTTTAGAAATTGCACAGAATTGCAACGTTGCAGGCTGTGCAGTCACCTAAGGATATTTTTTTCTAAGTAACCAAATTTTGTTTTCTCTAAGGTGTTCCTGCTAAATCTTCCCGATGCGTTTCACCTGCTGTATAGTCCTGATAAAGAATCTGTGGATAAAGAATCTGCAATGCAAACCATCGCAGACCAAATAGTCACACTATGTGCTACATTGGATGAGAACCCCGGGGTCCGCTATAAGAGGTAATAGTTTACATGTACCATGTTGTAGCATGATTCTTGATTGAGCTCATGTAATGTGATTTTCTGGTCAACATTTTATGTCTGAAGAGAACCACTGGATAATGCCGAAGATCTTGCTAACTTGGTGGAAGAGAAACTTGTTCAGTATTACAAGACCGATGAAAGAAACCAGTTTAAGGTAATGGGGATGAAGCACTTTTTTTTATTACATTAGATTGCTTAGTTATAGTGTTATTAAATGGGGTATTTTAGTTGAAAGTGGAAGTAAGAGACTCAAACGCCTAAGAAACCCATCCTGTTTGTGTTTTAATTTTGTTTATTTATTTTTTTCATCCAAGTGTTGTTACAGTGCCACCTGCTTTTCAGATTGTTTTTGTTTTTGGCAGTCTTCAGGTTACTCTCCTCAACTCCTCTCACTATCTTTTTCCTTTTCCCTTCCCCTGCATCCACGCAGCACTTTGCACTTGTCCCTGGATTCCCCACCGCCACACTGATTCAACTTTCTTCAGCAAATGTCCTGTTTTTTCACCTGTAAATGATGTAACTTTCATTTGTTTCATTGATTTATGCTAAGGGTCTGCTCGCCAACCAACTTTTAGGCCTCGTTCACACATACATGCAGAAAAACTGATAGAAACTGATGTGCAGATTTCACTTGCAGAGACATCCATTTTCATGTGTGCTTTAATGATACACGTTGCAGATTCCTGTGCAGAAAACATATGCATGTGATACTAGTGTGGTGTGAACAGTGCACATAGAGAACAATACATTTAGTTGTGCCCCTGCAGATTGTGTGCAGAAAAACTGATGTCTGCAAACTGGTGTGAATGAGGTCTGAAGGACTCGTTCACACCATGGTGCAGAGATGTCAGTTTTTCTGCACGTGTTCTGCAAGGGCACAACGAAATCAATTGCTCTCTATGTGCCCTGTTCATACCACACTAGTATCGTGCAGATTTTTTTCTATGCAGGAATCTGCCCTTTGTATAAAACTCATTGAAACGTGCTTAAAAAACTGATGTGAATTCATGTCTGTGCACATATGGTGTGAATGAGCCCTAGGGCCAGAGAAAAGATTTTGCTTTGTCTCAACTAATTTTATATTTCAATTGCTTCCTGGACTGAACATTGCATACAACAGTTCCCTTTGTTAACCACTTCCAGACCGGACACTTTTACCCCCTTCCTGACCAGGCTAATTTTCAGCTTTCAGTGCTCTCACATTGTGAATGCCAGTTACTCAGGCATACGACACTGTATCCAAATGAAATTTTTATCATTTTTTTCACACAAATAGAGCTTTCATTTGGTGGTATTTAATCACCACTGGGGGTTTTATTTTTTTCTAGAAAAGTGGAAAAAGACTGAAAATTCTGAAAATAAACATGTTTTTTCTTCGTTTTTGTTACTAGATTTTGCAAATAAATATACTTTCTTCATTAATTTAGGCCAAAATCCATTGTGCTACCTTTGTTTGGTAGAAATAACCCAAATCAGTGTGTATTATTTAGTCTGTATTAAAGTTATAAAGTCCACAGACCACTGTATATATATTTGATATATTTGAAAATTTATCAATCCTGATGTACTGACTACCTATATAGTTTCTCAGGGCCCTAAAATGCCAGGACAATACAAATACCCCCCAAATGACCCCTTTTTGGAAAGTAGACAGTCTGAGGTATTTAATGAGAGGCAAGGAGAGTTTTTTTGAAGTTGTAATTTTTTTGCGGGGAAATGATGAAAGTAAATCATTTTAATTTTTTTTTTCACAAAGTTGTCATTTTAACAAGTTCTTTCTCTCACACGGCATAGGCATACTTGCAGTTACACCCCAAAACACATTCTGCTACTCTTCCTGAGTATGGTGATACTAAATGTGTGAAACCTTTTTCACAGCCTAGCCACATAGAAGGGCCCCACATCCAATAAGCACCCTTAGGCGTTCTAGGGGCAAAAATTACACATCTAATTTCTTGACTGTCTATCACAGTTTTGGAGGTCCTGGAGCACCAGGACAAAGGAATTACCCACAAAATGACCCCATTTTGGAAAGAAAACACCCCAAGGTATGTTTTAAGAGGCATGGGGAGTCTTCCGAAGACTTCATTTTTTGCCAAACGTTTTTGGAAAATGTGAAAAGAAGATGAAAATGTATTTTTTTCTATGCAAAGTTGCCAGTCTATGAGATATATCTATTACACAGCATAGGCATACTTAAAATTACAAGAGAAAAAGGAGAGAAGCGCCTCTAAGTGCAATAAGTCTTTTAATTCAAGTCTAAATGTAGAAGCACTCACATGTGTGAAGTAATCATAAGCTTAAAAACCGTGGTTAACAATCGTTAACGGTGGGGTGGTGGTAACCCGGGTGAAGAGCCGTCATCTCTCTCTGCGATGTGGGGAGGTCAGCTCTCGGCTGGAACAGCGTGGTGGCTGGAGGGGGAACAGCGGTGAGGCCAGCCTTCATGCACGTCCTCCCTCAGAGCCGGATGGAACGCACGCTGGAACGTAGCGGCGGCGTGGCCGTGATGACGTCAGATCCCAGGGTGCACTGCGACGCGTTTCGGAGCATGCACTGGCCGTGGAAGGCGAAAGTGCACTCCTTTTTCAAGCAGGGGGAGGTGGATGAACAGGGGTGAATATATAGGGAACGTGAGTCTAATTGATCAAGTAACCAATTAACCAGTGATTGACCATTGCTGTCAGGTGAATAGTGTAAAGTCATGGATGTTAACTGGGGGGTAAAAGGAAACCAAATGGAAAAAAGAGAGGATGTAATAAATATGACAAAACGGAAGACGAAAGAAAAAAAAAAAAAAAAAAAAAAAAATTTGTTCTGGGAGATTAGTGGGGTAAAATGTTCACCTTGCAGCACTGGCACATCAATTATGTAACAGTAGTGAGCAGATATTTTAGTGGTAATACAGCATGATTGCAAGATGATACAGCAATGATTGCAAGATGATAAACATATTGGTAATAATACATGCAGATGACATTATAAAAAGTAAATTACATTGTAAAAAATTGTAAAAAAAAATAGAATAAAATATAAATAATGAACAAAAGGTTATAAATGATAAACTAAAAATTGGATTATAATTGGATTATTTTTTTTTCTTTCGTCTTCCATTTTCTTATTTATTACATCCTCTCTTTTTTCCATTTGGTTTCCTTTTACCCCCCAGTTAACATCCATGACTTTACACTATTCACCTGACAGCAATGGTCAATCACTGGTTAATTGGTTACTTGATCAATTAGACTCACGTTCCCTATATATTCACCCCTGTTCATCCACCTCCCCCTGCTTGAAAAAGGAGTGCACTTTCGCCTTCCACGGCCAGTGCATGCTCCGAAACGCGTCGCAGTGCACCCTGGGATCTGACGTCATCACGGCCACACGCCGCCGCTACGTTCCAGCGTGCGTTCCATCCGGCTCTGAGGGAGGACGTGCATGAAAGCTGGCCTCACCGCTGTTCCCCCTCCAGCCACCACGCTGTTCCAGCCGAGAGCTGACCTCCCCACATCGCAGAGAGATGACGGCTCTTCACCCGGGTTACCACCCCACCGTTAACGATTGTTAACCACGGTTTTTAAGCTTATGATTACTTCACACATGTGAGTGTTTCTGCATTTAGACTTGAAAAGACTTATTGCACTTAGAGGCGCTTCTCTATTTCTCATCTACAGAAGTTGCTACAGCTTATTTGGAAGCCTTGCCCTCAGTGCCACACGGAATCCTACGCTCTTCATACAGTAGCCACTAATACCACCATCACCCATACTACCATTTCCCAGGACTTTGCAGTGTTTGCGCTGTTACAACCCCTCATTTTTTCTGAATACTTAAAATTACACCCCAAACAACACATTCTATAACTCTTTCTGAATATGGCGATACCAAATGTGTGAGACTTTTTCACCGTCTGGCCACATAGGGGGGCTCCACATCCAATAAGCACCTTTTGGAGTTCTAGGGGAAAAAAATTACACATCCAATTTCTTGACTACCTAATGCCATTTTGGAGGTCCTGGAGCATCAGGACAATGGAATTACCCACAAAATGACCCCATTTTGGAAAGCAAACACTCCAAGGTATATTTTAAGAGTCATGTGGAGTCTCCTGAAGACTGCATTTTTTGCCAAAAGTTTTTGGAAAATGTGAAAAGAAAAAAGAAAATGTTTTTTTTTTTTTATGCAAAGTTGTCAATCTATGAGATATTTCTATTATACAACATAGGCATACTTAAAATTACACCCCAAAACACATTCTATAACTCTTCCTGAATATGGCGATACCAAATGTGTGTGAGACTTTTTTACAGTCTGGCCACATAGGGGGGGCTCCACATCCAATAAGCACCTTTTGGAGTTCTAGGGGAAAAAATGACATCTAATTTCTTGACTACCTAATGCCATTTTGGAGGTCCTGGAGCAGCCGAGTCTTCTGAAGACTTAATTTTTTACACAAATTTTCAGAAAATGTGGAAATTTATCTATTTTTTTTAACGCAATGTTACTAAATTTTGCAAATAAACATAGCATAAAGCATAGTGTAGCTTCACCTACAGCCTGTTCCTAAAAGCTCAATCTACTGGTACGTGGCTGCCCACATAGCACTATGTTCACTCACCAAGAAGTTAAACAAAAGATAAACCAAAGAGTACCTGTGGTTTCAGTGCAGTTGTCTATAGAGGATGGGGGCACCAGTGTCTCGCAGGAAGGTAGCCAGTGGGATGTGCAGATGGGTCAGTACCGATGTCATGCATAGACGTGGTGAGCAAACAGGCAAAGCAGTGGTCCAGGAAGAAGACAGGAACATGATCCATAAAAAGGCCACAGTCGATACAGACAGCAAGCAGAGGCGTGATCAAAGGATTGGTCCAGGCAGAAACATAAAGCTTAGGGCCTTGGTTAGGTAAGACTGGACAAAGGGGTAGAGGCTTCGTCCCACCCAAATCTCTTCAAAGCCTCTGGTCTCCAGACCATGATCCGGGAATTACAAAACCCAAAGAAAACAAAAAAGTTTTCTCTGCTTGGAAACACTACTCTGGATCCCCTCACATAAGTGAGACCCCTGTGTTGTCTTGAATCCCACTACTAAAGTGGGAGGGAAAAATATCAGTCCAGGAGGCAGGCAGAAAACATGGTTGATTAACAGGCCGAGGTCAGTTCAGGCAGCAGGCAGAGGCATGGTCGATTTAACAGGCCAAGGTCATTTCAGGCAGCAAGCAGAGGCAGAATCGATTAACAGGCTGAGGGCAGTTCAGGCAGCAGGCAGAGGCATTGTCGATTTAACAGGCTGAGGTCAGTTCAGGCAGCAAGGCAAGGCATGGTCGATTAACAGGCCGAGGTCAGTTCAGATGGAAAGCAGGAAAATGAATACAGGCAGAAACGTGGCAGGGAAATAGCAGGTAGGAGGACAAACAGAAATATCTTCACCATACTTCACTAATAATGTAGTGCGGTATGGTAGATACGGAAGCAATCTCCTATACAGAGACCAGGCTTTGAGGGACACTGGGGACAATAGTATCGGGTGTCACGTCGAATCCTATGTTTGGAGCATACACAACATTTTTTTTTGAGGATGGCGGTCTGCTTGGGTAGTAGGGATGATATTGGGGAAATGTCTTTCATGCAATCTGCTCACTGCATCAGAGCGAATTTGTTCAGGTACGGGTCTTCCTTGATAGATGAGGGATGTGATAATCTCTTCCTGATATTGTAAGAAGGTGACAGGTCTTTGTGTGGACCTCTGGTAAACGATGTAGGAATTGTACAGGGCCATATGTAAAAGGTAGAAGGATACTTTTTTATACCAGTAGATTGATCTTCTGTTGGGTATGTAGGGCTGTAGCATTTGATCATTTAAATCTACTCCCCCCATGAACAGGTTGTATTCGTGTATGCATTGAGGTTTTCGGATGGTACCGCGTCTTCCTTGAATTTCCAATGAGCTGCTGTTATGGATAGATGAAAGGACATAAACATCCCGTTTGTCTCGCCACTTAAGGGCCAGGATCTCTTCATTTTGCAAGCTATCTGACTCGCCCCTGTTTAGCTTGGTGGCAACCAATTGTTGTGGAAAGCCCTTCCGATTGGGTCGAGCTGTGCCACAGGCTACAATGTCCTTGAGATAAAGGTGGCGGAAAAGGAGCAGACTTGTGTAGAAATTGTCCACGTAAAGGTGGTACCCCTGGTTGAAGAGGGGGTGTACCAGGTCCCAGACAATTTTTCCACTAATCCCCATATAAGCTGGGCATTCAGGGGGCTGTAGCTGACTGTCCTTTCCTTCGTACATACGGAACTTGTGCACGTATCCTGTGGACCTTTCGCAGAGTTTGTTCATTTTCACACCATATCTGGCCCGTTTGCTTGGAATGTACTGTTTTATGATCAGCCTCCCAGTGAAATGGATTAGGGATTCATCGACACAGATGTTTTTTTCAGGACGATATATTTCTGAAAATCTTTGGTTGAAATAATTGATCAGTGGCCGAATTTTATAAAGTTTGTCATACTCGGGGGGATCTCTGGGGGGGCACATGGAATTATCGTTGAAATGTAGAAAGTGCATTATTGTTCTATAGCGGGTCCTGGACATAGTGGCGGAAAAGAGCGGCATGTGATGAATGGGATTTGTTGACCAATAAGCATGTAATTCATTTTTTTTTGTTAGTCCCATATTAAATGCAAGGCCGAGAAACACTTTAAATTCTTCAACTGTGAGGCATTTCCACTCAAATGGACGGGCATAAAAGGAGTTGGGATTTTGGGTGATAAATTGCTGGGCAAAAAGATTGCATTGGTGCACAACTGAATTCAAAAAATCTTCAGTGAAAAATAAATGGAAAAAATCAATGGCTGTAAAATTTTGAGTTTCTACCTGAATGCCTGACTGGGCTATGAATGGGGGAATTATAGGTGCTCGTGATCCTGTAGGTAGCCACACAGGGTTTAAAAGTGCATCTGGGACAGCAGTATGGACCCTTGGTTGCTGACGTGACACCCGAGTACTAGTACTTGCACTTACACTGCTGGTACTAGCCATGTCAGAGGAAGATATTGAGCTGCTGGTGGTTGCTTGCTGGTCCTTGGAGCTCCTCATTCTTTTTGTTGGAACACCTTCTTCTGATTCAGAGAGTGAACCGCTGCTGTGTCTGGTTCATATACAGAATCTGAGTCTGACAGTGAGAGCTCTCCGTCACTCTCATCTGTCATACTCAGAATTTGAAATGCCTCCTCGCTTGAATATAATCTTTTGGCCATATTTTTGGCACTGTGATCAGGAACTACTGGAATGGCGTTGATCAGGATGATGGTGCTGGTGTACAGTGGTCTGATATTACTGTAGTGAGGGACAGATGGCTGTCTGCGGTTGGTTTACACAAGATGCTGTTGGGCAAAGATCAGAGATACCGTGAGCTGGCAGGCAATGTTTTGTGAGTGTGTGTGTAAACTGTGTGCAAAGACTAAAAAGTACTCACAGTTTGCTGTAATGGCTCTCAGGTGATCAGGACTGGTATGGTGGTGATCAGGACCCGTGGGTTTGGCAGCGATCAGGATCAAATGATGTGGCGGCGATCAGAACCCGCTGGTATGGCGGGGATCAGGACCCACTAGTTTGGTGGTGATCAGGATCTGCTGGGGTGGGCTGGGGTGGTGATCAGGACCTGCTGGTATGGCTGCGATCAGGATCTGCTAGTGTGGCGGCGATCAGGACCCGCTGGTATAGCTGTGATTGGGACCTGCAGGTGTAGCGGTGATCAAGACTTGGTGGTATGATGATCAGGATCTGGTAGTGTGGAGGTGATCAAGACCTGCTGGTGTGGAGATCGGGGACACTGGGACGCTATGCAGTGATCAGGGACACAGCTGGGCCGCTGTGTGGCGATCAGGGACGCTGACGATCAGGGACGCTGACGATCAGGGACGCTGACGATCAGGGACGCTGACGATCAGGGACGCTGACGATCGAGGGACACGGGCGATCAGGGACACTTTTGGTCAGGGACAGTCAAGGACACTTGTGATCAGGGACACAATCAGGACTCTTGTGGTCAGGGACAGACAATCAGGGACACTTGTGGTCAGGGACAGTCAGTCAGGGACACTTGTGGTCAGGGACACTTGTGATCAGGGACAGACAGGGACACGTGATCAGGGACAATTAGGGACACTTGCGATCAGGCTTGCTCTTGCTCTGGCTATCCGGCTCCTTCTCTCACAGACAGAACTCCGTGTGAGGAGAAGGAGCCGGAAGCCGCACCATGCGGCTTCTGTTTACAGTTAATTGGTCACATGGTACAGGACGATTTCATTGGTCCTGTACCATGTTACCTGATCCCCTGTATCTGAGGGACCCGGCGATCTGTGGGCACGCGCGTGCGTGGTCAAGGGGGCGGAAGCCGCACCATGCGGCTTCTATTTACATTTAGACTGTGTCCTTATTGGACACAGTTGGTCACATGGTACAGGACGATTTCATTGGTCCTGTACCATGTTACCTGATCCCCTGTATCTGAGGGACCCGGCGATCTCTGGGCACGCGCGTGCTCGGTCAAGGGGGCGGAAGCCGCACCATGCGGCTTCGATTTACATTAGGACTGTGTCCTTATTGAACACAGTCGGTCACATGGTACAGGACGGTCCTGTACCACGTCAGGTGATCGCCGGTATCCGAGGGACACGGCGATCACCGGGCTCGCGGGTGCGCGCTCTAGGAGCCGGGCACAAGCCTCGGATGCGGGCGGCCGTTTATAAACGGCCACCCGACCCTGCACTGCCACCGTCCGGCCGTTTATATAAAGCGGCCGGTCGGGAAGTGGTTAAGCCCAGATAATTGCCTTTGATAGTAATAAAGAAAACTAATTTACACAGGCTAAACAGAAAATCTTCAATATACCTTATTACCACATCATTCAGTAAATTGCTTTCCTTTTCTCCTGAAGAATTAGTATTACCCTTCATTTATATAGTGGGCAGTATTTTTACAAAGCTTTAGTTTGTTTGGGCTAAATCACAAAACAAACACACAAAAATAGCATTTGCGTACAAACTATTACATATAAGGTGAGCATGCCCCCCCCTTAAGAGTTTACTGTGTGTAAGCAAAACCCGAGAAAATCGTGCATCCGATAACCCTACCAGACCAGTCCTTTCTGTTCTGTAGGTCAACTAGCATCAGTGATCAATGTACTAAATGGCCAATTACTACCTTTTGTGGATGTTTGTTGGATGGTTATTCTTTATGAAATCTGTACTTTTGATAGTTTATAAACTGTTTATTACTTTTACGTTATTTGTAGTATTAGGATAAAGATAACTGGGTCATAATTTTTTTTTTTTTTTGCAGGAGAAAAGTCAATCCCAGCTACTCATACTTGACAGAGGATTTGATCCAATTTCTACGGTGTTGCATGAACTAACTTTTCAAGCAATGATTTATGATCTTTTGCTCGTTGAAAATGATGTTTACAAGCAAGTACTTTTTATGCTTTTTCCTTAAATTTTAACACCATGCTTGTGAAACACTTAGATTTGCTGTGTACATGAAATTAATTTTGCACAACACCTGATGTTTTATATTTTAATCTGTCTGTAGAGCTTTTTGGCCCCTTTCACATGGACATTCCGATCAGTTTTTCAGGTTGATCTGATTGAAAGGTAGTTAGGGGTAAATGGACAGCAGAGTACACTTACTCTCTGCCGCCCATAGAGCGGAGCAGGCTCTGTCCGTGTCTGCGCTACAGAGACTGAGCAGACACGGATGTGTTATGTGCCAACCCTGCTCCAATCATCAGGGGATCTGAACTAATCCTCTGCTGATTGGAATGGAATCCGCCCCATGTGAAAGGGGCCTTTATACTATAACTGTGTCATGAAAGGTTTGGATATTAAAGGGAACCTGTGACCTGATGATGCTGACTTGCTTTTAAAGGTGCACATTATGGGTTGTCCTTCTCACGTTAAAGTTGTAATAACCCAAAAAATAAAACTTAAATACCCGCATTATCGTGACAAATCATATATTCAATAAAAAAATCATATATTCAATAAAAAGTATATGTAATTCTGCTGTTCCTAAAGTAAAATCACGTTAAATAATAAATGATCAATAACACAGCGCAAAAAAATTTTTTACAAAACGTGACAAAATCGGCTATGAGTGTGGAGTGTGTATTGAAAGGTTATCGTGGAGCACTGTGGGGTGATAATACGTATTGAACACATTGCGTTTTGGACACAATTTTTTTTTTTTTTTTTGAGCACTCAAGCACTGTTTGTATTTTGTCACGTTTTGGGAAAAAAAATGTATGCGCTGTGTTATTGATCATTCATTAAAGTTGTAATAAACCTAAAGACAAAATTTTTTCTATATTTCAGTTTAGCAATATTCAGATATAGTGGCTGCATTCATTTTCTTTTTAGGTGTTTTTCCTTTATTTTCACCTGATGATTCTGCCAGTAAGTCTGTTATTTTTCAACAGGTCAAGCCTTCCTGCAAATGTACCAGGCAGTGTGTTTAAACAAACCATTAAACACCAACAGGGGTGCTTACAACGGGCAGCTTTTATTTTTTTTTTGTAAAACCTTTATCCCAAAAGATAAAAAAAAAATGGTTCCTGTAACTACTTAAAGTGTTAGCTGGAGTTTGGCTTCAAGGTGTTAATCAATCTAAATCTGCTAGTATGTCTAACACTACCCCCTCCCCGCAGACCAACAGTGTTGCTGTCCAAAGAGGTCTCTATTGCTCCTCCATCCGGAGTGTAGGCGAAAGAGTGTAGTCTAAAACTGCTTTAACTTCACTAGCTGTTAATTCAGATCTGAAACCAACATGAAGCCAATGAAGTCTGAAAGGTCTTGCCTTGCATTTTGCTGGTCTATTCTAGATCATTGACGTATTACATAAATCAGGATCATGTTAGCCCCAGATCCTTCACATGAAAAAGTCAGCAATGGCAGCTGATGTATTTTCCTCTGAACTCCTTCTCATTTCTTTCTTTAACATTTACTTTGTTCCTAACTCCGTGCAACTCTAACACTTAACTAAGTCCCTAATGTTAGGCTCTAACACAACTATCCCAAACACAACCCATAAAACACTGATCCCCAACACCATTTAATCTGTAAACCTGTGTAATTCCTGTGCTGACTAAGAACCTGATGCCTGCATAAACCAAGAATGGGTGACCTTGTATGGAAATGGTGATCTATTTTAAGAATCTGCTGTGTCATACAGATTGTACAACTTGTACTTAAATCTGTACTCCCAAGTTAAAAAAAACAATTAAAATATATTCTTCAATATCTACAAAGAATATAAATCTGCTTTTGTGTGCACCAAATTCCTTCGCAAACCTAGATTTTACCTTTTTAAATGTAATGGTGACCTCTCCAGTGTGCTGCATAGAATGCGCAGGTAGAAGAGTGCACCAAATTCCTTCGCAAACCTAGATTTTACCTTTTTAAATGTAATGGTGACCTCTCCAGTGTGCTGCATAGAATGCGCAGGTAGAAGAGGTGACATGGAACCTCGGAGCCATTTATAACTCTGCCCCAAATTACATCACCAATCTTGTCTCCAGATATCACCCAAACCATACTCTCTGCTCCTCGCACGACCTCCTGCTCTCTAGCTCCTTTGTCTGCTCCTCCAATGCTCGTCTCCAGGACTTCTCCACAGCTTCCTGCATCATCTGGAACTCTCTACCCCAATTTATCAGACTATCTCCTACTCTGCTCAGTTTTAGGCAATCTCTCAAAACCTATCTCTTCAGGGAAGCCTATCCTGCCCTCAGCTAATAATGGAATCTTCTACTCCTCCTACCAGTCCATCCCCCACAGTTACTACCTTTTGTACCACCAGCCCCTCCCTCTTAGATTGTAAGCTCCAAGGACAGGGCCCTCAAATCCCTCTTGTAGTGAACTGTATTGTTGCTTTGTCTCCTGTTTTTATATTGTAAAGCGCTGAGCAAACTGTTGGCGCTATATAAGTCCTGTATAATAATAATGGGAGGTCTTTCCACTAGAGTCTATCTGGGGAAAAAAAACTTCAGATTGTGGATACCTCCATAAAGAGGTAGAGCAGTAGTCCTTTTTTTTTTTTTTTTTTTTTTTTTTTAGAAAGCGCCTGCAAAGAGGCAGAAATGTGCAGAAGTTGTTTCATGATGGATTACTGCAAAAATGTGAAAAAAATGCACAAAGGAGATCAGCATATGCCAAGCATGTCAAACAATGTTTTGTTTAGTTCAGATATAATTCTTTTTCTGTTGTATAATAGATATCGTGCAGACACCTCCCTTGGGACAAAGGACAAAGAAGGCCGCTTAGATGAGTCTGACGAATTGTGGGTGAAAATTCGTCACAAGCATATCGCTGATGTCTTGGAGTATGTATTCATTTTTCATACAGTAGATATATTACACTGCTGCATTGATAGCATATTTATAGAGGTTATGGATTTCTTCCTATGCAGATGTTCACTTTGACTGCCGATTTACCAAACTGATATGCTGAAAAAATGTTAAAGCAGTAGTCACGTTTTTTATTAATGGTTTTTATTTCTTTAACTTTTCATTAGTGTGTTTAATCTTTACTGGTATGGCAATTTCACAACTTTCTGCGCAAGGAAATGTTTTGATCATTGACAGTTGTAGGTGTTTCAGGCCTGCAGTGAGGAAAGCCAGTTTTATAATTGTGAACTTTGATTTAGCGCTCAACAGTTCAGCTTTTTGAACATTCTTTGTGTTTTAGGTAGTTATTTTGTTTCAAATGTTAGAAGAATTTCTTTACTGTATTGTAATTTTCTTTTCACAGTGAGATTCCAAAACTTGTTAAAGAAATTTCTTCTAGCAAAAAAGAAGCAGAGGGCAAGGTAATACTAGGTTAAAGAAAAATGTGTATAATTTCCACTAATTTTGCTTTTTTTTTTTTTTTTTCTTTTTAATCAAGCAAACTTTTTATTGAGAGAAACAGACATGCAACCACATCACATATTCAATGAAAACGAACACAGGTCGATTAGACAAGCGAGTAACGCATTATGCAGATTGTAGAGCCCTTGCCACAGGCAAGGAAAAGAGGAACAGCATAATAACAACCAACATAATAGATTTACAAAGAGTAATCATTCCTCCTCGTCACAAGTAAATGTAGAGTCGAGCCATTTATCCCAAACTGTGATATTTAGCAGGGCATCCTCTATGTATATAAATGACCTTCATATATGGTAAAGTGTTATTATCTGCAGCTATCCACTGTGAAAATGTAGGTGACAACGCCTGCAACCACATACGAACAAGCAATAATCTAGCCACAAATAGCGTATCTTGCAAAAAAAGAGTCTGAAATTTGTCGGTTTCTGAACTAGGAAGAAGACAGAGTAGGCACTGCTTAGGGCAGAGGGTAAGGGGAGAGCCCATCTTGTCATGGAGGAACCAGACCACCTGAGACCAGTAACCCCGAATGAGGGGACATGACCATATTAAATGGGAAAAAAAAAGTACTGTCAGGGTCCCCACATTTAGGGCAAAGCGGGCTATGTTGTGGCCTGTATTTAGACAATCAAATTATTATTATTATTATTATACAGTATTTATAAAGCGCCAATAGTTCGCTCAGCGCTGTACATTACAAAGGGGGACAGAACATGTGACAGAACAACAATACAATGCAAAACATGAGGGGATCGAGGGCCCTGCTCTTTCGAGCTTACAACCTCGGGTAAACCATCTTAGTCGAGGACAACACCTCCTCCCACATTTCATCATCCAACTCCCCCACATCCACCTCCCAGTGGGTTTTAAGGCGGTATGCCAATAATGATGCAGAAGGTTAGAGTAGAAGATTATAGAATGTGGACGTAAGTTTCTTGGATTCCATGTCCAAATCACATCCAGAAGACAATTAGAGTTGGATTATAAAACAGTGTCACCAAACTGGGCCCACAGAGCATGACAGAGCTGGAGATAAGCGAAAAAACATAAAGTTGGGGAGGTCATATTCCCCTTTGAGGTCCTGAAATAATTTGACTCCCGCACTGGTGAACATCTGGGAAACGTACAAAATACCCCTGCTGATCCATAAGCTAAAACCGGGGAGTGTGCGCAATTCGGTGAGATACGGGTTATCCCACAAAGGGATATAGGCATGGATATGTTGAAGATGCAACCTTCCAGAAGCTAGCAACCAGATCTTACAGTGGTGATACAGCAATCCCCTCTGGCCCCCCACAGCCACGAGGTCCCGCACATCCCGCAGTAATAATTGAAAGGGATGAACAACCCAAGCAAAAGCCTGGGCACACACCAGTTCAAGGCATCTATTCCTGCCCCCCTTCTTCAAGTGGAAAAAATGAGATAATTGGGCTTCCAAATAATTATAAAGGGGTTAATATCCGGGAGCGCTGTACTCCTCAGATGCCTGGGATTTTTGAGAGTGCGCCATGACAATTTGTGCCGAGCACTACCCCTAACAAAAGAGTTAAGCATAGAATCAAGGGATTTAAATACCCACAACAGTAAATATATAGGTGCGTGCCAAAGAATATAAAGAAGTTTAGGAAGGAGCACCATCTTAATCAAATTAACACATCCCATAACCCCAAGGGGGAGACGAGACCAGACTTGCAATTTGGACTGTAGCATAGGATAAAGGGGTTCTAAATTAAGTCGGGGATAATCCACAGCATCACGAGAGACCATAATCCCAAGATAAGTAATTCTGCTGACCCTAACCAAAGGAAGACTAGCCTGTTCCCTAGTAGGGGCACCAAAATCTAAAGGAAGAATCTGGAATTTCCCCCAATTTATTCGAAGCCCTGAAAAATGTCTGAAATCCTCAACAAGAGCAAGAGCAGGCCCAAGCGAAGGGCGTGCATCCTCCAGATACAAAAGCATGTCATCAACATACAAACTCACCGTCTCGGTCAATAGACCAGAGCGCAAACCTCAAATATCAGGATGTAATCGAATACCTATGGCCAAGGGTCTACTGCCAGTGCATACAGTAGGGGAGATAGGGGTCAACCCTGACGTGTACCTCTGGAGAGGGGAAAGGAATCCGACATCCGACCACCCACCAGGACCCTAGCCGTAGGAGCGTGATAGAGAAGTCTAAGCCATTTAAGGAACTTGGGCCCGAAACCAAAGTTGCGTAAACATTCCCATAAATACCCCCACTCCACAGAGCCAAAAGCCTTAACTGCATCTAGGGAGACCACAACTCTAGAGCCCGTATTATCATGGGTAGCTTGCAAATTTATGAAAATCCTCCGAAGATTGAATGCCATATTCTTGGCTGGCATGAACCCAACCTGATCTGGATGAATTAAATCAAGTATAACTTTATTTAGATGCAAGGCCAGGGCCTTAGCCAAGATCTTAATATCCAATTGCAGTAGAGAGATGGGTCCTTCCCGGGTTTAGGGATGAGAACAATTAAAGCTTCGCACATAGACTGGGGAAGAGAGGCGCATTCAAAGATATGTTGATCTAAAGAATGTAAGCGATTCTTGAAAATAGGTGTAAAACGCCAGAGGGAGTCCATCAGAGCCCGGCGCTTTAGAGGGGGAGAGGTGGGCCATAGCCTCAGCGATGTCGTCCGTTGAAATGGGAGCCTCCAGAAGAGCAACCTGAGGGGGGGTAAGGGTAGGAAATGGTATGGTTTGCAAAAAGTGAGTGAGCTTATCTGGAGAGTCATGAACCGTGGAAGAATAGAGACTAGAAAAAAAGTTACGAAACTCCTCCGCCACCAGATCTGGGTCAGTGATGCTGGCACCTGAGGCGCCCCTCAGGGAGATCAAAATGGGGAGGGTCGAAGGTCCAAATGGGCCAAGTACGCTAGAAGGTGACCAGCACGTTCTCTATGCTCAAATATTCCCTGCCTGGTAAAAAAGATATGTTGCCTAGCCTTCTCAAAGGGGAGATGATTAACCAGACGAGCCTGCAACCTGACCAATAAGGGCTTCACCCGAAGGGTTGACTTGAAACGAATGTTCTAGGTCAAGTAAACCCTCCTGTGCCCGCCTAACAGCTAAGCTAGATGTAGATTTGTATCTGGAGATGCGGGATGGCAAAACGCCGCAAGCATGCAATTTAAAAGAGTCCCAAATGGAACCAAAATCGGCTGAACCCTCGTTATTTGCATAATAACCACTCCAAGCAGTCTGTACATCTTTTGGATCTGGAAGAACAGTCAGCCAAAAAATATTTAAGCTCCACATATAAATAGGGGAAGAAGAAGGCTGGCCGAGTGTCATCCAGTAAGGAGCATTGTCTGACAATACCCGGGGGGCAATACCCACCTCCCCAAACTTAGATAGTAGCGATTTGGATATAAATATATAGTCTATGCGAGACATCGTGGATTAGGAGGCTGAAAAACAGGAGTAAGCTTTGATCATGGGGTGCAAGTATCTCCAAGTGTCCACCAGCGCAAATTCCATCAAAAGTTTACCAAACTGGGTAACATGGGATGGAGTAGGGACAGAGGGGTCATAATCCAGTTTATCTAAACTAGGGTCTACAGTCCTATTAATATCCCCCAGCCACACTGCAGGAATACCAGGAAGACATGCAATGAACGTCAGGTCCTCAGCGAATACTGCAAACTGGAAGGGGGAGGGATATGGTAGGCCAATATTAACAATTTAGGAGCATTGAGAACAGAATGTAAAAAAAGAAATATGCCCTGTGGATCCGCCTGCAGAGTCAATAACTGAAAACCGACCGTCTTAGCAAACATGGCGACACCACTTGAATTGGGGGTGTAGGTAGCTTGATAAAGCCAGCCAATGCAGGGTTTTTTAAGGGCCATCTGAAGTTGACCGGTGACGTGGGTTTCCACAAGAACTGCCACATCAGCCCTCAGAGATTTTAGGTGGGATACGCTTAGGTCGAGCCCTCATACCGCGGACGTTCCACATCAAGAACTTGAGAGGCCATGACACTATAAAAGATAAAATGCTGGGCAGGCGAATCCACAGGAGCAAAACATAGTATACAATAGGATCAAGGGTTAGTGCAAAATACAAGTATACACTCATCTGGGATATAGTCAAGTGGGTCCCATATATTGCATACGGTGATATCCTGAAATCAGCAGTGGACAACACAACATTCCTCTCATGTTTGCAAACACAATTTAAAGCAAATAAGAACAAATGGAACAAGTAAGAAAGTAAACTATAGACTCTGGACCAGCATGGAGAAGGGAACGAAACCGTGCATCCCACTTCAGCTGGCCAGGGAAACAACGCATAAATGAAGTTGCAGAATGAAAAATAAAAAACACCAGAGCTCCACCCAAAACTGAATTCTGCGGACAGAAAACCGCAACTAAGCCCAGGGCGCGGGAACAGAGCTCCAGGCACTATGGGGGCGAACAATTCGCTGAAGAGCAGTACACAGCCCAGGCTGCCAGGCATCCCATTAAAAAAATAAGTAACCCAGAATAGAACCAGCCAAAAATAAAATAGTGAAATGAAGAGAAGGAAAAGGGGGAGAAGAGAAAAGAAAAAGAAAGGGATGGAGACTCAGAGAGGGGAAAGTAAGGAAGAGAGAGGAAAGAAAGATGGAAAATGGAAGAAAACAGGAGAGGAGGAGAAAGAAAAAAAAACAAGCGGGCAAGAGGAGGGAAAATTAAAGAATAATAAACGTGGGAAAAGTAGAGAAGAGAAGCTGAAGAAAATAAAGAGAAAACCAGGCAGAGGGGGGAGACACCAAACACCCAGAGAGGAAGGGCCCAAGACTCACAAGAGGATTTAAAGGAAAAGGAGAGAGATATGAAGAGAGGAGAGGAAAAGGATTGGGTACAAATAGTGGGAGAAGGGAGAAAGGAATGGTGAAGACAAGGAGTAATAATAGGGGAGGCATAGACAGAGGGATACACTCATGAGGCACAGGGCTAGGGGAGATAAAACATAATAGAAGAAACCATCCCCAAAAAAATATATCAGGCCGGAGCAGGTCCTGGTGCTGTCTGCTGGTCCAGCCAGGCCAGCACTGATTCTGGACTTGCAAAAAAGTGAACCTTGTCATCCCCCACGACTCAAAGTCTAGCAGGGAAAAGCATAGCGTAGGACACATGGTGGACCCGAAGTTGTCTCTTAGCCTCCACAAATTGAGCACAACGATTTTGGACCTCTGCTGAAAAGTCTGGAAAAACCGTGACTCACATTCTGGAACAGGTTGCTTCCCTTTTCCCTGGTGAGGCAAAGAATAGTGTCACGGTCCCGATAATTCAGAAATTTGGCAATAAACATGCATGGCGGGGCTCCCTTGGGTGGAGGCCTAGAGGCCAAACGATGGGCGCGCTCCACCATGAAAGTAGGGGAGAATGCCTCTCTACCATAGGTAATAGTGAGTAACTCCAAGAAGGAGGCCAGGTTGAAACCCTCCACATTCTCGGGCATACCAACGAACCAGAGGTTGCATCGGGGAAGCCTGTTTTCCACGTCGTCTTGCTTTTGCAGCACTGTATGAAGCTAGTGTTGCAGGTGTTCAGTAGTGACTTGTAATGGCGGCAAATCATCCTCCATGTGACAAAGCTGTGCTTCCGCCTCCGTAACCCTTTTTTGTAAATCTTGTCAAATAAGCGAGATATCGATCTTCACCTCCTCAATCTTACAGGTTAAGGTAGGCAGTTAGAGATTGCCGCCAGTACCTTAGTGTGAGACTTCACTGGTTCCCCCGAGGCGGAGGCAGAGGCGCCATCTTCCCCCGCAATGTTCCTCTCCTTTATGGCGAAACTCAGCAAGTTTACCTCCAGCGTTGGCACCCTTCTTCGGTGGCAATATAGCCCCAGGAGATGGAGAGAAGTTTAGCAGGCATAGCGGGCGTTCGTATGAGCAGGATAGTAGTCAGGATCAGCGGAAACGGATGAGTCTCGGATGAAGCTCCCAGAAGTGCACCCTACGCCATGCTGCTCCAGGCTATGCCCCCCCTCACTATTTTTTGCTTTTACATAAGGTAATTTACATCAAGTGGATATCTTATCTGTATGTGTTAATATTTTAAAAGTGCTGTCTGTGTACAAGTTGTATGTGCATAGGGTAAATCATTTTACTCATCCATGCCTTTCTTTCTGATTTGCACTTCTACAAAGTAATTATGCTTTACTGCGTCTTTCACATTGCAGGTCTATGACTTGCATTAGGCTACAGTGATACTAAAGTCTTGTGTGTGTGTTATTAACAAAAAAAAAATGTTATACTTACTTGCTCTGTGCAATGGTTTTTGCACAGAGTAGCCCCAATTCTCCTCTTCTCAGGTTCCCCACTAACTTTCCTGGCCCCTCCCTTCTGTCGAGTGCCCTCACTGCAAACCGCTTGCTATGGGGGCACCCGAGCAGGCGTGCTCTAGAGCCGCAGCTCTGCATGTCCATTCACACACAGAGCCATGGCTCGGTCCCTACTTCTGATGGGCTCGCTGCCTGTGATTTACAGTAGCTGCCTCAGCCAGTCAGGAGTGAGAGTCCCTGGAGAACTGAGGCTTATGTAGACATCGCTGGATCGGGATGGGGCTCAGGTAAGTGTTAGGAAGGGCTGCTACACACAGAAGGTTTTTTACCTTCGTGCATAGAATGCACGAAGGTAAAAAAAACCTGTAGCCTATAGAACTGCTTTAAATAATTGATCTACATCACTGAGAGCTCCACAAGTGGCCAATCGACTATAGCTACGTATAGGGGACCTGAGCTGCAGCACCTGACATCACCCACAGACCACATATAATCCGTATGTGAAATGCTACAGAAGATTGTCAGAGATTGCAGACATACTAAGAGATAGCCAGAGACCTTGAACATGTCATGGTGTATTTGGGATATTTTAGCCTGTTGCAGAACATGTCCAAAGTCTGGGAACATGTTAACTGCAGCTTACTTCTGGGGGGTTACAGGATTCAAAGAACAAGTGCCAAAAGGTTGCATGGACCCATCTGGGCAATAGGGCTCCACACTGTACTAAATTATTCAGTGTAAAAATGTGCTGTACTGCCAAGTGTAAGCCTTGATGGTTTGTACAGACTCTGGCACCAGCTTGCCTGTCAGTCCTGTTTTTCTGCCATCTACCGTTACTTGCTATCCATCTTACAAAAAACTACTGCATGTTCTCCACATTATTCCTCTTGATTTTCTTTTCCCTATGACATAGTCTTGATGCCATATCCAGGTTTGACTTTTATAGCAGATCAGATTTTGCCAAAGTAAAGGCATATCCTAACACCTTTTATAACAGTTGGACAAAAATATGAACAACCGTTATTCCCAGTGCAGCAAGCTTTGATGATACAACAGTACAAAGGCGTATCTAGAACCTTCAAGAAGGTTCTAGAAACCACAAAGGCCCCCCCCTTCCCTCCAAGCTTGGGGCCTTTCCCACTGATCCCGAAGCCCTTTACTCCTGTCACAGGGCCCTTTATTAAAGTTCTGCATGGAGACCCTTTCACATGTTCTGCAGCGGGCCCTCTTCCTGCTGTCTTGGGACCCCCCACAGTGCTAGAACGCCAGGGCCCAGTCTCAAGTGCAACCTTTGAGACACTGGTAGTTCCACCACTGCCACTGCAGCAGTGGAAAGTTCAAAAACATCAGCCTAAATTTAGAAATACTAATACCAGTGGCAGGAAAATAATTAAGTTTTATGCCAATAGCTGTTGTTCATGGTGTTTTCATTACTACAGGTGAAACTCAAAAAAAAATTAGAATATCATGCAAAAGTTCATTTATTTCAGTAATGCAACTTAAAAGGTGAAACTAATATATGAGATAGACTCATTACATGCAAAGCAAGATAGTTCAAGCCATGATTTGTCATAATTGTGATGATTATGGCTTACAGCTTATGAAAACTCCAAATCCACAATCTCAGAAAATTAAAATATTACATGCAATCAATAAAACAAGGATTGTACATAGAACAATATCGGACCTCTGAAAAGTATAAGCATGCATATGTACTCAGTACTTGGTTTGGGCCCCTTTTGCAGCAATTACAATGCGGCGTGGCATGGAAGCTATCAGCCTGTAGCACTGCTGAGGTGTTCTGGAAGACCAGGATGCTTCAATAGCAGCATTCAGCTCTTCTGCATTGTTCGGTCTCATGTCTCTCATCTTTCTCTTTGCAATGCCCCATAGATTCTCTATGGGGTTCAGGTCAGGCGAGTTTGCTGGCCAATCAAGCACTCTACTCCCTTGGTCATTGAACCAGGTTTTGGTGCTTCTGGCAGTGTGGGCAAGTGCCAAGTCCTGCTGGAAAATGAAGTCAGCATCCCCATAAAGCTCGTCTGTGGAAGGAAGCATGACGTGCTCCAAAATCTCCTGGTAGACGGCTGCATTGACCCTGGACTTAATGAAACACAGTGGAGCAAACACCAGCAGATGACATGGCTCCCCAAATCAACACAGACTGTGGAAACTTCACATTGGACTTCAAGCATCTTGCAGTGTGTGCCTCTCCAATTTTCCGCCATACTCTGGGTCCTTGGTTTCCAAATGAGATGCAAAAGTTGCTCTCATCAGAAAAAAAAAGACTTTGGACCACTGAGCAACAGACCAGGTCTGTTTTTCTTTAGCCCAGGTAAGACGCTTCTGACGTTGTTTGTTCAGGAGTGGCTTGACAAGAGGAATACGATATTTGAAGCCCATGTCCAGGATCCGACTGTGTGTGGTGGCTCTTGATGCACTGACTCCAGCCTCAGTCCACTCCTTGTGAAAGTCCCCAACACTTTTGAATGGCCTTTTCCTGACAATCCTCTCCAGGCTGCGGTCATCCCTGCTGCTTGTGCACCTTTTTCTTCCACACTTTTCCCTTCCACATAACTTTCTATTAATGTGCTTTGATACAGCACTTTGGGAACATCCAACTTCTTTTGCAATTACCTTTTGAGGTTTACCCTCCTTATGGAGGGTGTCAGTGATGGTTTTCTGCACAACTGTCAGGTCAGCAGTCTTTCCCATGATTGTGATTCCTACTGAACCAGACTGAGAGACCATTTAAAGGCACAGGAACCCTTTGCAGGTGTTATGGCTTAATTAGCTGATTAGAGTGGGACACTTGAGCCTAGAATATTGCACCTTTTCACAATATTCTAATTCTCGGAGATTGTGGATTTGGGGTTTTCATGAGCTGTAAGCCATAATCATCACAATTATGACAAATCACGTCTTGAACTATCTTGCTTTGCATGTAATGAGTCTATCTCATATATTAGTTTCACCTTTAAAGTTGCATTACTGAAATAAATGAACTTTTGCATGATATTCTAATTTTTCGAGTTTCACCTGTATATACAGGTTCCTTCGGACTGGTGTTTTTTTGTACAGCTGCAGCAATTTTCATTTTTTTTTCCTCAAGCTGAGTCCCCACAAAGCATTGATGCACCCACCAGTGCACAATCTAGTATAGCAGTTTTGCATGTTTTCCTTTATAGGAGTTGGAAAGCATTTTACTTTTAAGTGTCATATTGTGAACATTACCCACTTTTCTTTTATAAACAGCTTTCCATAAGTAACTTGTCAAACCTCATGAAGAAAATGCCACATTTCAGAAAACAGATCAGCAAGGTAAGAGGGCATATTTTAAATTTTCTTGTATTCTGTCAATATTTGTGAATGTTTACTGAGTGAAACAAATACATAAAACTGAAAGCTGCACATCAGATTATTGTTTTTGTGATCAGTATGAAATTAAGTTCAATAATTGTGTTTTGTTCATACCCTTTCCTACTACTTCTACAGCAAACATTGCATCTTAGTCTAGCTGAAGATTGCATGGAAATTTTCAAGGGAAACCTTGAGAAGCTCTGCAAAGTTGAACAGGTATGTATGCTTGATATTATTATATAGCCATCGTTCTGCAGTTAAAGTGGTTCTAAAGGTAGATGGTTTTTTTTTTTTGTTTTCCCACTCATGCATTCTACACAGCTTCATTCCATCCAATATTCCCCCCCCCCCCCCCCCCCCCCCCCCACCCCCCCCCCATCATAACCAGTTAGGAAAGAACAGGGGCAGAGCTGAGCCCTGCTGTGTTTTGGTGTTTGTCAATAGTTCAGGAGTGAGCCTGCACAAGTGCCCCCATAACAAGTGGCCTAGTATGGAGGCACTTGGAAAGGGGGATGTACCAAGAGCACCAGTGGTACACCTTAGAAGAGGAGGATCGGGGCTGCTCTGTGCAAAACCTTTGCACAGAGCAAGCAAGTATGACGTGTTTTTTTATATTAAAAAAACAAAAACAAAAAAAAAACCTTTTAGAATCACTTTAAAGAGAAATATTTTTTGTGGATAGTTATTTGTGTAGTTTAAAGCAAGTAATACATTTTTAGCATTTCATGAAAATTCCATTGCCCTTGGTGGACCTAAACTTTGATAGCAGTTACTTTTTTTTTTTTCCTTTTTGGACTCTCTAAAGTGGTTCCAAAGGAAAGACATTTTTTTCCCTAAATGCATTCCCTGCAATAAGGTAACGTCCAAGGAGTCCTATCTTCGTCCAGACCTGTCTGCAGTGGCGCTGGTCTCTACTCTTCTCCTTACAGGATACAGGGGCAGTAGTGGGAGCCATTGGCTTCTGCTGCAGTCAGTCAAACCCTGTGAGGAGGGGGCAGGGCTGAGCCAGGCTGTGTGTATCTATGAACACACACAGCCTGTTTTGGGAGTGAGCCTGCAGGTGTGCCCCTGTAGCAAGTGGCTTTCTATGGAGACACACCCAGAAGAGAGGAGTAGCTGAGAGCGCTGGCAGGGGATCTCAGAAAAGGAGGTTCGAAGCTGCTCTGTGCAATACCATTGCACTGAACAGATAAATATACCACGTTTTTATTATTTTAGCAAAAAAAAAAAATTAGCCTTTACAACCGTTTTAAAAATTAACTCTGAACAGCTGAATACTTTGATAAGATGTATATATGGAAACTGTTTGTGTTTCTGTCAATCTAGTCACAAATGTTTCCCAGGACCACACACCAGTATAATGAAACACAAAGCAAATTAACACAATATAGCTTCAGCTGGCTCTTAAGAGCCAGCTGAAGTGCTCTTGATGTGCTTTTATCAGTAGTCTAGCACCCAGCTGCAGTGTTGGAATTGGCTGGTATATTTGACAGGAGCATGTGAGCAGTGCTGCTTTTTATTTGGTTTATCTGTCTAGTGCTGAGATTTACACAGCCCTGCCAGACAGCGCACCCAGGTGAATAAGACTACTACTCGTGTTACAGTTAGAGAATGTAGAAGGGATACAGCGTTTGTCCTCTCTCCACCACCAGCTTGCTGACTGGCCAGTGATAGATGAGGTCATTTATTTGTTCTCTCCCATATTAGCATGTGCCTTTTCAGCATATTTTCCAGCTTCAAACCTGAAAAACGTACAGCTGGCCCCTCCCTCTCACAGTACTGCTGAATTGGGGATTGCAAGGGGTTATCAAATTAAATTTTTAGGTACCATGCTCGTTGCATGTCAGGCAAATGTTTTTGCCCTTGTTTATAGTACACATTGTAGTTCTCTAGGATCCAGGCGTTCCTCTGGATTACTGAAATTGATTTATTAAAGGATTATGAAGATTACTTTGTAGTGTTATTGCAGACCTATTGGTATCCCTGACTGGTGCATTAAACAAGACCTACAAGTAAAGCAAAAATGTGTACGAAGTTCCGCTAATCTGCATTTTCAATGTTTCTTGATAAATCTAATGATCTGCAACATCTTTCCGTCTTCTAAAACTTTGAACTAAGCTAAGTTTAAAACAAACAGCAAGTGGGCATAACTTGATCTATTTTAAGTTTACTAAACATTGCTATAGAATGCTTAACCTGACACTGTGTATTGCAGGATCTGGCACTAGGGACAGATGCTGAGGGGCAGAAAAAATAAAAGAGCACATGCGGGTTTTGCTGCCAGTCTTGTTGAATAAAGACCTGGATAATTATGACAAGATTAGAGCCATTCTTCTCTACATCTTTGTGGAAAATGGTAAGTTTATAGGTGATGGAGAGCTCTGATGATGTAGACTATTAGTGCCTCAGGCCACACATCAATTTAAAGTGAAGCAAAATTCTAAAAAATCATTAGCACTTTTTTTTGTGGTGGGGTTTTTTTAGGGGGGGGGGGGGGAGATACTTTTATAGGTCACTTTTGCCCAAAACCTCTTTATCTTTCTGCTACCAAACGTTTTTTTTTTTTTTTTTTTTTTTTTGCCTGTGCGCACACATGCACAGCATAATCTACACTCTGGGCATCTGTAAAATACAGAAAAATGCTCTGAAGATCTGCAGCTGATTTAGTTCTGATTTAAAGGCCAAGCCCACCTTTTACACACAAAAAATTAAATGCACATATTTGCAGCAAAAAAAGTGTATAATTTTTTTTACATCTGAGTCTGGAAGCATTGCAACACCAATCAATGCACAGGACTCTGAAGGACTCTGACTGTGAGGAACAAAATGCTGTAGTCTGATGAAAACCAAATTCGAACTGTTTGGCCTCAATTGTAAACATTATGTTTGGAGGAAACCAGGTGCCATTTATCACTTGCCCAATACTATCCCAACAATGAAGCATGGTAGTGGCAGTATCATGCTGTGGGGGTGTTTTTCAGCAGCGCACAGGACCTCAGACTTGGCTAAATGTTTACCTTCCAACATGACAACTATCCTAAGCACACAGCCAAGACAACACCGGAGTGGCTTTGGGACAATTCTGTAAATGTCTTAGTTGCCCAGCCAGAGCCCTGAGTTGAACCCTATTGAACATCTCTGGAGAGACCTGAAAACGGTTGTCCACTGATGGTCCCCATCCTACCTGATTGAGCTTGAGAGGATTTGCAAAGAAGAATGGCGGAAAATCCACCAGTCCAGGTGTGCAAAGCTTGTTGCGTCATAACCAAAAAGACTTGAGGCTGTAATTGGTGCCAATGGTGTTTCAACAAATTACTATGTAAAGGGTCTGAATACTTAAAGCGTTACTAAACCCACATCAGTAAAATCCGTCTGTATATGCAGTAAAAGCACACTTGTTATACTCACTGGGGTTAATCCCCTGCACTGTGTAAAAATGCTGTTTGGTCCTGTCTTCTCTGACCCTCCCCATCTTCTGACCCAAATCCATCTGCTGATAGTACAGAACCTTGGGAGCAAGCTGCACATGCTCAGGGCCAATCAGCGCTAGCCAGACAGAGGGTCAGGGGTCCTCCAGCCTCAGGACAATTGGGGGAGAATGAAAACTCCTACAAGCTTTAACTAGTGCTAACGCAAGCTGGACACTGATAAAGTCACAAGACTGCTCTAACTGCTGATGAGAAGTTATTTAGCAGTTTAAATTTACTAAAATAATTAAATTTCCATGTTCTGTGTACTGTGAGAGACTAGATATAGTGAATGCAGGGTCCCGGGTTTAGGAACACTTTAAGTACATGTGATATTTCAGGGCTTTTTTTTTTTTTTTTTTTTTTTTTTTTCATAGACCTTTCTAAAATTCTGTTTTCACTTTCTCATTATGGGGTACTGAGTGTATATTACTGAGAAAAAAAGGAATTTAAAAAAACTGTAGTATCAGGCCGCAACATAACAAAATTGAAAAAAGTGAAGGGGGTCTGAATACTTTGTGAATGCACTGTATCTGTTGTTGAGCTTTAAGATGAAGGTTTAAATATCTGTTACATTTTTAGGGATTCTGCTATCAGTTTACCAATATTTGGAGGGTCTAGGCATTTTTTTCCTGCTAAAAACCAAAAGGGTACATTTCACATCTTTCAGACCTCTCCTCCTCCTTTTTTTTTTTTTTTTTTTTTTTTTATTACTACAAGGTTTCAGTTTTTTAATATGGGTGTTATTCAAACAGTTTCCACACTTTTTTTTAACTTTATTTTTTTATACAGTTAGGTCCATACATATTTGGACACAGGCACAATTTTAGTTTTTTTCCAGGTAGTTACCAAAACATATTCAAGCTATAGTTCTATAGTGGATTTGGGCTGAAAGTGCACACTTAATTGATGAAGAAATAATGGAGAAGTAGCCCACACCTGGCCATGAAACCGCTTTTTTTTTTTTTTTTTTTTCTTTGATTCAATTGTCCAATTACTTTTGGTCCTTTGAAAAAGGGGGGTGCCAACTCTTAAGAGCTGTAATTCCTAAACCCTTCCTCCAGTTTGGATGTACATACCCTCAAATTAAACCTGAGAGTGTGCACTTTCAGCCCATATCCATTATATAACTAAAGCTTGAATATGTTTTGGTAAATACCTAAAAAAAAAAAAAAAAAAAAAAAACTAAAATTGTGCCTGTGTCCAAATATATATGGACCTAACTGTATATACATACATACATTATCTCACAGAAGTGAGTACACCCCTCACACATACATATATATTTATATATATATATATATATATATATATATATATATATATATATACATACATATATATATACATACATATATATATACATATATATATACACATACATACATACATACATACATACATACATACATACACACACACTGCTCAACAAAAATTAAAGGAACACTTTGAAAACACATCAGATCTCAATGGAGAAAGTATCATACTGGATATCCATACTGATATGGACTGGGTAATGTGAAAGGAACGTAAGGATGCCCCATCTTTTGATGGAAATGAAAATTATCAACCTACAGAGGACTGAATTCAAAGACACACCAAAAATCAAAGGGAAAATATGATGCAGCAGGCTAGTCCATTTTGCTGAAATTTCATTGCAGCAAATCAAAATGGTACTCAGTATTTCGTATGGCCCCCACATGCTTGTATGACAACGTCGTGGCATGCTCCTAATGAGACAACGGATGGTGTCCTGGGGTATTTCCTCCCAGTTCTGAACCAGGGCATCACTGAGTTCCTGAACAGTCTGAGGTACAACCTGGTGGCATCAAATGGACTGAAACATGATATCCCAGAGGTGTTCTGTTGGATTTAGGTCAGGCGAGTGTGGGGGCCATTCAATGGTTTCAATTCCTTTTATCCTCCAGGAATTGCCTGCATACTCTCGCCATATGAGGCCAGGTATTGTCATGCACCAGGAAGGAACCCAGGACCCACTGCACCAACGTAGGGTCTGACAATGTGTCCAAGTGTTTCCTCCTGATACCTAATGGCAGTCCGGGTGCCATTTTCTAGCCTATAGAGCTCTGTGCATCCCTTCATGGATATGCCTCCCTGACCCACCACCAAAACGGTCATGCTGAATGATGTTACAGGCAGCATAATGTTCTCCACGGCTTCTTCAGACCCTTTTACGTCTGTCACGTTCTCAGGGTGAACTTGCTCTCATCTGTGAAAAGCACAGGGCGCCAGTGTTGAACCTGCCAACTCTGGTGTTCAATGGCAAATGCCAGTCGAGCTGTATGCTGGACAGTGAGCACAGGGCCTCATGAAGTCTATTTCTGATTAGTCAGAGACATTCATACCAGTGGCCTGCTGGTGGCCTTTTTTTAGGGCTGTGGTAGTGCTCATCCTGTTCCTCCTTGCACAAAGGAGCAGAGACTGGTCCTGCTGATGGGTTAAGGACCTTCTATGGCCCTGTCCAGCTCTCCTAGAGTAACTGCCTGTCTCCTGGAATCTCCTCCATGCTCTTGAAACTGTGCTGAGAGACACAGAAAACCTGGCAATGGCACATATTGATGTGTCATCCTGGAGGAGTTGGACTGCCTGGTTAACCTGTGTAGGATCCATAGTAGCCTTATGCTACCAGTAGTGACACTGACCCTAGCCAAATGCAAAATTAGTGAAAGAGAAAGGATGAGTAGGGAAAAAAAAATGTCAGTGGCCTCCACCTGTAAAACCATTTCTGTTTTGGGGGTCGTCTCATTGTTGTCCATCTAGTGTACTTGTTAATGTCATTAACACCAAAGCAGCTGAAACTGATTAACAACCCCCCTCTGCTACTTAACTGCCAGATCAAATATCCCAGGAGTTTAATTGACTTGATGCCATACTCTGATTAAAAAGTGTTCCTTTAACCACTTGAAGTCCAGACACTTTCACCCCCTTCCAGTCCAGGCCAATTTTCAGCTTTCAGCACTATCACACTTTGAGTGACTGTACCCATATGAAATTTTTACCTTTTTATCTTGAGAGAGAGATTTCTTTTGGTGGTGTTTGATCACCACTTGGTTTTTAATTTTTTTGCTATATAAATGAAAAAATACCAAAAATTTTGAAAAAACTATATTTTGCTTAGTTTTTTTGCAAATAGATAATTTTGTCTTCATAAATTTTAGGCCAAAATCTATTCTGCTATGTTTTGAGTGTAAATATAGCCCAAAACTGTTTATAATATTTAGTTTGTGTGAAAGCTATAGAGTCTACAAACTCTAGGACAGTGATGGCGAACCCGTGGCACGCGTGCCACAGCCAGCACGCCGCCGAGCCTTATCTGTGGGCACGCCAGGAGAATACCGTATTTTTCGCTCCATAAGACGCACTTTTTTCCCCCCAAAAAAGGGGGGAAAATGTTAGTGCGTCTTATGGAGCGAATATAGAGCGGCCGGTCCGGTATTTCCACCGCCGCTGTGTCAGAATACCGGGCCGGCCGCTCAGCTCTGCAGTGGGACCGTACCTGTCCCTCTATCCAGCGGCGCGCTGTCTTCCCGGCTTCTGTAGTGTGCGTGACAGCCGGGTCCCAAGTGCGCATGCGCAAGAAGCAGTGCTCTTTGTGAATGGTAAGGCGGTACCTGGGACACATGACAGATCCCAGAAGCCGCCGGACCAATCACAAAGCGCAGCGCTTCTCGCGCATGCGCACTGGGCATCCGGCTGTCCGAGCGCCCACACTACAGAAGCCGGGAAGACAGCGCGCGGCTGGATAAAGGAACAGGTAAGATAGAAAAAAAAACTCTGCGGAAGTAAGAGCGGGTACCTGTCAAATTCAGGTACCCGCCCCCTCCCTCCCCAAAGGTCAGCAGTCATCTGTACGCCCGCAGTCTCTGGT